ACCAGGCGAAGATGTCACTTCCATCATATCTGAAAGCGGATATGACATCATGGGACCCAGATGTGGCTGGACACGATTCTGCCTCTACATATTTCACCTTCCAGGCATCTCCAGGAGCTTCCTGAAGATGCCTGGTAGGTGAAACATGTAGAGGCAGAATCATGCCCAGCCACATTCGGATCCAGTTGATGTCATATCCGCTTCCGGTTTATGGAACGCACAGCGACTTCCCTGTCGAGCGGTGCTAGCATCCTGAGCTGAGTGTATTAGTGCCAAGGATTGGACAACAACTAATGAGAGTGCATATTTGATTGATTTTATTCATTTTTTTAATAAACCTACTATACTATTCTTCTGATTCTTGCTAACCTTGGCTATGGAGTAAATTGGGAGACCATTGAGAAGATATACACTGATGTTCCAAACTATTGGGGACACAAAGCACATTAGACCTTCTTTTAATTAAGAGATCATGTATGGTTGCTGAGTGCAATATATTGTCTTATGGTGGTGGAGCACAAAGGATCTGCATGGGGCAATTTATTTAGCACCAGAAGATTATGCACCTTTGTCTTTGATCTACAACCTGGCGTGGGACTTTCGTTTTTTTTTTTGTTCTTGACTTTGGACTTATTAATATATATCACTTTCATGTTTTTACATGTTTTTCACCGTTGGAATATTGTTCATCTAATGTGTATGTTTAGGGCCATACCTTATTTTATTATATGGTCACAAGTGATTTTCCACTTCAAGGGGCAGCTAACATTTTTTGTATTATTTTTTTTGGCACACTAAATGGTTGAGTAATTATTTATATTTTATTGCATAGAAGATACAATGTTTCTGTAAGACAGTATGTATCACTTTTTTGCATGTAAAGAGAAGGCGCTTAGTTTCTCACTAAATTGCACAATCATGCAACACTGTACCCAAATGAAACTTATAATTTATTTATTTCCCCACAAATACAGCTTTCCTTTGGTGGTATTTGATCACCATTGGGTTTTTAATTTTTTATATATATAAATGAAAAAAGACCAAAAATTTTAAAAAAATATATATTTTTGTACTTTTTGCTATAAAACATATCCATTAAAAGAAAGTAAAAATTTGCTTCATAAATTTAGGGAAAATGTATTCAGATACATGTCTTTAAAAAAAAATCCCAATAAGTGTATATTTATTGGTTTGTGCGAAGGTTATAGTGTCTACTGAAAGGATCGATTTTCCCCTTAGAGACCCCTGGTCTGTGGAGAGATTCCTGGTTTATCAGCAGAATTCTGGGAGCACCCCAAGAACACGGAATAACAGCAGGCAGCTTATGTTCAAAGATGTTCAAAGTTTATTAGACATTACTAACATTATATAGGATACAGAAAAAAAAAGGGAGGGGGGGGAGCGAGTTTCAAAACTGTAACTTGTAAGTTTCCATCATGAGCTAACTACATGAAACATGACATATACATTTCTTGGTATAAACTGTTTTTGCTAGCTTTCTGAGAATTAGCCGGGCAAAGAAAACCTCAGGGTCATCTTATCATTGTTTATACATTCTGGTTCAAGCTGAAACAGTTTCATTAAACTTCTAATATTTCTGCAAAACGCTAACTCAATACTTAAAATGGTGTACCTCAACAAAATGGAGGTTATCTAGATCCTTTCATCTACCAACTATGGTGTACACAGTATATGCTGGAATTATACTGGGACTGATAGTGAGGAGGGCAATCTGACACTAACTGACACTGGGTGGGAATTGACTAACTGCCACTGACATCACCAGGGACACTAATAGAGTCATCAGTGATAATACTATACACTGTCACTGTACTAATGACACTGCGTCATGTACCTGGATAGTGAGCCTGATGTGAAAGGAAGGTCTCCCATACAGTTCCGGCTCGAGAGAAGTTGCAGGGTCAGACAAGCCGGGTCGGTAACAGGCAGATCAGGCATAGACGGTAGATGGCAGAGTAGTCGGCCACAGGCCAGGTCAGCAGCGGAGGCTCAATCAGACAGGAACAGGAGGCAGAAGAGAAATCCAAAGACAAGCCGGGGTCAGGGCAGGTAGCAGACAAGCGGAGATCAGGAACAAGTCGGGGTAGTATCAGAGTTCAGGCACAAGAATCAGGGACACACTCAGAAGCTGTAGACCAAACAGCAATGAGACAAAACTGCATCCTGTTTAAATAGCCCTTTCGGCGCCAGCATTAGTGACAGGAACGCCTATATGCGTGAGTACGCATGTGCGTGTCAGTCCACGCACATCTATCTGGCCCGTTACTGTTCTGCGCATACTTATACGCCGTGATACTTCACCTGCAATATAGGCAAGCCTTTCCTGACTCACTGGCTGGAAAGGGGTTAACATCTAAGGGCAATCAAAGAGTTAACTGTATGCCTAGCAATGTGTAATGTGTGCTGCTTTTACTAAGAAATGTGACTGTGTACAGAGCTGTGTTGTTCATAAACATAGGGCTCTGTACTGTGATTCGTTAAGCCGACCAGCAGGTCATAAATCATTGGCCGGGACCTGCTGACCAACGAATGATAGCACAGATGGGGCGGAAGGCAGGCATGCCCCCTACCTGGAAATGCTGGATCACGTACAATAAAGTAATTCATGAATTCCAAGTGTTTGGCGAGTTCAGAGTTCTGATGGCAAGTGTCTCTGCTATATGCTGGCCAGGCATAGAGGTCTCAGAAAGGGATAGTCACTATTACAACGGTTGGAGTCAGAATAGGGGGCATGGCTGAGTTTGCTTTTTGTCCGTTTTGCAGTACTTTTCGCAGTTCATTTTGCGTTTTTCTACACGTGATTTTGATGCGTTTTTGACACTTTTTTTTATAGCGTTTTGTTCAGCTCTCTTTTTTATTTCTAATAAAGTGGAAATTTTTTTTTCTTGGCAGAATAAAAATGCAAAACGTAAAACGCGGCAAAACACACTACCATTCATTTCAGCAGATTGTCCTTTGAACTCTATTGTAGCAAAAAAGCTGCTTTTTGCTTTTAAAAAAAGTCTCTGACCCTTTTAAAAGCACAGCAGCTCAAAAAAGCATATATGTGAACATGTTCCATAGGAAACCATCTTAAATGGACTGTAGTGCGTTTCTGCAAAAAGCTAAAAAAACACACTGGTGTGAACGGAGCTTAAGGCTCCAAATACACGGGACACTTCTGAACGATGGAAACTGACTGCTGGAAAACGTAGGTTAAAAAATGTCTGTTTAGCCACTTTTGCATACTGCATTTATGTGCGTTTGCGTTTAGAAGCGTTTTTTAAAGATAACCTCAGGAGACCTTCCAAAATGCCCAGAATGCACTGAAAAACAGTAAAAATTAACTATTTCAGACATTTTGAGAGGAATAGAGAGAGCAGAAGCAGAGAGAGCAGTATGTGTTGAGATTAGCTGTCTTTTTTTTTGTGGTGTTTGGATGTGTTCCAGCTCATGTAAAACCTCAAAGTATGATGTACCAGTTTTATTTGAGTACCGGGAAAACACTTTGCATGCATTTTTCATGATGAAAAAAAAAAGGCTCTGGACAGCATCTGGAAATGGAAGAGTTAAAAAAAAAATTCCAAACGCAAATGCTTATAAACACGGTTAGCCACGTTTACAAGCATTTACAAGCATTTGAAACGCTAATAAAATTTACTCCTGACTGTAAACTCAACTGTTTGTAAACGACTGTAAATGACATAGTGTACATGGACACATAGGAAAACATTAGGGAGAGTTCAGGGGCTGCTGAAAAAAATGCAAAAAAGCTCCTAAACGTCAGTTTATCAGCTGCAGTGTACATGGAGCCTACAGGAGCATGGTAGAGATAAATGTAGTCTACCCACTGTTACACGGCACACATATGCCACAATCTTTGTCTCCACAAAAAAATGCTTTAATTACTGTGACACAAGCAAGAGTCTCACAGACCTATAGATATCAGCATAATTAATTTAAAAAAAATTATCCATTACAGAAGATTTTCTGTGCACAGAATTTAGTTACTAGCTGAGCATACCTTAAAAAAAAAAACTTAATTAAAATAGTTAATGACTATTTAGCAACCAGTAAGCATTGAAACAATAAACAGTTTGGTCAAGAGCATGTAATGCACAGCAGAGCTTACAGAGTGCAGGGGTGAGGTGTGGGAAATGTACAACATTGTGTATATAGTGTAGCAGTCAGGAATGTATAATACACAAAGTGCAGGGGTCAGGAGTAGGTGATACACAAAGGGGTAGAGCCATGACATGCTGCTGTCCCTTCCCCCGGAAGTACTGAGCTTACACAGACTGAAAGTGGAACTGGCATTGTAGTGTAACAAGCAGGATGTCTGTGTGCTGGGTACAGCACAAACAATTCTGAGTGGATTGATGATATATATTTGAATGTAACCACCTCTCACCCACTATATAAAGAAATGACGGATGGATGGCGGTTCTCTCATTCTGGGAGGACGTCATATGACGTTCTCCCACGCTAACTGCATACGTGCGCCCGTAGGGGCGTGTGGCAATCAGTGGTGATCTGTGTCCCTGGGACACAGCAGATCACCGATCAGAGTTAGTCCTCATGCACACTGGACATTTTTATAGCGGCTGTTTTTGGCTTTTGACGTTTTTTCTACAGCCAGTAAACCCCCCAGTATGTTACCTATGTGTCCATGCACACATAGGCTGTAATCAGTGTTTTTTGGCTGGAAAAAAACCCAGGACTAGTGGATTTCTAGAGGAGTTTTTAGCTGTAAGACGCTCTAACGCTGAAAAATGTGGTAAAACGCTGCAAACCGGTGTTTTTGGATGTTTTTTTACCCAAAAAATATTTTTTTTGTCAAAAAAAGCTAAAAAGCGCTAAAAACTCAAACGTGGAAAAACGCCAATGCAAAAACACTAAGAAAGGCTGAAAAACTCATGTTTTAACGTGCTTTTACACAGCTAACGTTACCAGCGTTATCAAAACGTCCCGTGTGTATGAGGACTAAAGAGCTGATGACACAGGCTCTGTCATGTGATCAGCTGTGTCCAATCACAGCTGATCGCATGTAAACAGGAAATGACAGTTATCTGCAGTCCGGACCTCACGCTGACAGCACGAGAGGAGAGGAGAGCTGGTAAGTGGCATTCCTCAGAGAGGACATCTACACTGATCATCAGGGCACTGATGATCAGTGTAGCCCCATCAGTGCCACCTGTCAGTGCCCATAAATGCCATCTATCAATGCCACATACCAGTGCCCATCAGAGCTGCCTTTCAGGGCCAACTATCAGTGCCAGTCAGTGCCGCCTAACAGTTCCCCTCAGTGCCGCCTATCAGTGCCATATATGAGTTCTGCCTTTTCAGTGTCCATCAGTGATGCCTGTCAATGCCCACAAGTGATGTCTGTCAATGCCCATCAGTGCCACCTACCAGTGCCTCCTCATCAGTGCCACCTATCAGTGCCCATCACTGCAGCCTCATCAGCGCACATCAGTGAAGGGGAAAAATGACTTATTTACAAACTTTTATACCAGAAACTAAGAAAAAACATTTTTTTTTTTTCAAAATTTTCAGTCTTTTTTTAGTTTGTTTAGCAAAAAAAAAAAAACTCCAGTGGTGAATAAATACCAACAAATGAAAGCTCTGTCTCAAAACAATCATAAAAATGTAGTTTGGGTGCAGTGTTGCATGACCACACAATTGTCATTCAAAGTGCGCCAGCAAACAAAGGTTTTACGCTATGAGCATTTTTATATCTTTCCTGTGGCCAGTCCCCATAATAGTGCTGTGTGAGTTGTGAGGTAGTTCCCGCAATATAAGGCAGCAAGAGAAAGTGGAGATACCCCTTTTGCTAGGAAAAGCACATACTGACCCACTTTTAAAAAAGAAAGTGGTCAACATCTCTTGAGTTCTGATAGGTACGGATGCAGGTGCGCAGAGAGAGAAAGCACTGGGGACACAGTGTGAAAAGTGTACTGTGGAGACACTGGGCACAAAAGCAGCCATAGATTGAAGTGCAACACCAATCTGGATAAAACACAGAGCACTTTTTGATGAGAAGCATCAGCACAAACCCCTTTATTTACTGATTGAACATGAATATGCACTGAACATTTTATTGAACATAACATATTTCTTGAATGTATGCATTGGTAAAGTTTTTTTAATGCGTGAGTAGAGTTTTGCACAATATAAGTATATAGCACCAGGCACTTTTTATATAGCACATATTGTATATATGTAGTGCTATTAGTTTTATTTTTATTTATGTGGAGTGATGCTCACATAGGAGCCGCAGAAATACATGTCTAAAGGGATCCCAGGGATGTGTTCTTTCACATAATGATTTTATATACTAGGGTTGTTGGTTCAAATCCCACCCATGGCACTACCTGCAAGGAATTTGCATGTTCTCCCCGTGCCTGCATGGGTTTCCTGCGGGTACTACGATTTGCTCTCACATTCCAAAGTAATGCTGTCAGGTTCATTGACTCCTGTCTAAACTGGCCCTAGTATGTGTATGCATGAATTTGAGCTGGGGACCTTAGATTGTAAGCTCCTTGAGGGTTAGGTACTGATGTGAATGTACAATATATATGTAAAGCGCTGCTTGAATTGACAGTGCTTTATAATACCTGTAATAAATAAATGTAAAAAAACAGAGACAGAATGCTGAGACCTTTACAAGAGCCTACTGGGCCTCCCACCAAACTCAGAGCAAACAGCAGCAGAGACACCCAGTGATAATGTCACTGAGTCTCAAACTTATTTGATTGAAATGTTTAATTGCATGTTGATCAGGCTGGGGAGTGGAGGGTGCAAAGAAAGGTGTGAGATGTTGCAAACCATATAATAAGAAAACAAGGATTCCATTGAATGTACAGGTGAAACTCAAAAAATTAGCTCACTTTGAGCCTTTTCACAATATTCTAATTTTCTGAGATTGTGGATTTGGGGTTTTCATGATCTGTAAGCCATAATCATCACAATTATGACAAATCACGGCTTGAACTGTCTTGCTCTGCATGCAATGAGTCTATCTCATATATTTGTTTCTCCTTTTAAGTTGCTTTACTGAAATAAATGAACTTTTGAACGATATTTTAATTTTTCGAGTTTCACCCGTATGTGCTATCAGTTGTAAATAGAGATGAGCGAATTATTCAAAAATTTGATTCTGCTGATTCTTTGAATTTGCGGGAGAAATTCGATTCGTTGCGAATTTATTCGCTGCGAATTTAACTTATTAAAAGGGTTTCTAGGCTTCAGAGAGCCTTTATATTAGTGCAGAACACTGTACCTTTAATTTAAATGCCCTTGGAGTCTGCTGGGGAAGAGAAATAATACTGTCAGTCAGTATGACATGCAGATGAGTGCCGTCGATCTTAGAATCACCGCACACTTCACTCATTTGGGCAGTCACGGGGCACGACGAAGAAGAATGAAAAGAAGAATGAAAAGAAGAAGAAGAATGAAAAGAAGAATGAGAAGAAGAAGAATGAAAAGAAGAATGAGGAGAAGAATGAAAAGAAGAATGAGAAGAATGAAAAGAAGAATGAGAAGAATGAAAAGAATGAAAAGAAGAAGAAGAAGAATGAAAAGAAGAAGAAGAAGAATGAAAAGAAGAAGGAAAAGAAGAAGGAAAAGAAGAAGGAAAAGAAGAAGAATGAAAAGAAGAATGAAAAGAAAAAGAAGAAGAAGAAGAATGAAAAGAAGAAGAAGAATGAAAAGAAGAAGAAGAAGAATGAAAAGAAGAAGAAGAAGAATGAAAAGAAGAAGAAGAATGAGAAGAAGAATGAAAAGAAGAATGAAAAGAAGAATGAAAAGAAGAATGACAAGAAGAATGACAAGAAGAATGAGAAGAAGAATGAGAAGAAGAATGAAAAGAAGAAGAAGAATGAAAAGAAGAAGAAGAAGAAGAATGAAAAGAAGAAGAAGAAGAAGAAGAATGAAAAGAAGAAGAAGAAGAATGAAAAGAAGAAGAAGAATGAGAAGAAGAATGAAAAGAAGAATGAGAAGAAGAATGAGAAGAAGAATGAGAAGAAGAAGAAGAAGAAGAAGAAGAATGAAAAGAAGAAGAAGAAGAAGAATGAAAAGAAGAAGAAGAATGAAAAGAAGAAGAATTCCAGTACAGCAAAAAGTGTATCTGCAGAGAGCTCCGCTATTTCTGACAGTTCTCTGACAGTTCCTTCACATTTACAGCGGTTGAAACATTGTATCTATTTATTTCCGAATAAAAACATCTGTATCCTAAATGGAAACAAATAGATACAATGTTTCAACCGCTGTAAATGTGAAGGAACTGTCAGAGAACTGTCAGAAATAGCGGAGCTCTCTGCAGTGACACTTTTTGCCGGCTGATCGGGGAAAATTTGATTCGTGCATCCGAAGTTTGCTAAAATTCGGATTCGGTGCGAATCAAATTTTTCCTAATATTCGAAACGAATTCCACTTTGCCAAGTTCGATTCACTCATCTCTAGTTGTAAAGTAAGGAGTGAGATGTTGAAGACCGTATGGTAAGAAACCAGGTTCCCATTGGTTAAAGTTATGTGCTATCAGTTGTACGCTCAGGAGTGAGATGTTGCAGACCGTATGGTAAGAAATCAAGGATTCCATTGATTATAGGTAAATGCTATAGGTTGTAAACTCAGCATTGGGATGTTGCAGGTCACATGGTAAAAAAACAAGAGTGCCATTGACTAAGGGCTCATTAACACCATAACATAGTGCACTAAAATGAATGACAATAGGAGAAAGAATACACAGATTTTGTGCAATAAAAAAAGTGTAAACATTTATAAGATAAAAAAATTAAGTTGGAACTTGCACATTTTCCTACTTTGGATACTGCCCATCGGCCTAGAGCTGATCAGCCCAGCAGCAGTCCACACACCATGACCAGTGGTGGGGCTGGAGAGGATGTAGGAATGGCCGTTACTTCCCCAGAACAGGATCCACTGCACAAATTTTGAAACCAGCAATGTCCACAGATTTCTGGGTGCAACAATCAGAGAAGAGGTGCAAGCTGTGTCAAGACAGAAGCCCAAGCACAATTGGCACATTTTGAGGATATCCCTTGTTGAGCTATACTCTGATATGCACCAAATACTTTAGCTATATTATACGGTTTGTATTGTAGGTTACCATTTAAGTTCAGGATGACCTCTGGTGCAGAATTTTATTTTCAATTTCGCTCTCCAGAATAGTTCAGTATTTGTTTAAATATTGGTAATTTTCTGTTTATACCACAGTGCCGTCTCTACTTTTTAAGTTCTCAGGTTTCCTTTAAGTTGACGCCTTTACAGCTGTGCTTCATTATTCTTTGTACTTTATCCCATCTAAATTGATAAATGTTTGCACACAGCAGCTACAACACTGTGACAACTTTTGCTCTGAGAGTACACTTGACCAGGATTGTGCTCCAGGGTGTCTTGGTGATAATGAGTTCCACCAGTCATTCTGAATGCCACTCTGCCACTTGCTAACAATATATCCCGAGTCTCTTCTTTCAGCAGCCGAGTTACAGCAGTACACAAGTCATTTGTTGCTGTGCATTTTTGTCTGGGAATCCCCGTGGAGGTGCAGAATAATTTTTGGGATTCTAGTGTGTTATTCTTTTCAATATAATGATCATGATTAAAATCTACAGCTGTCACCACTTCGGTTTTAGCTTTTCTGATAATAATGCAAAACATAACATTCACACTGTGAAAACCATAGTAGAACTGCATAGGAAAATGCTAAGAGCTTTAACAGAGTACTGCATTGCAATAAAGTAGAAGTTTGCTATAAGTTGGTAAAAGCTGTATTATGCAGGATGATTGGAAAGCGGCTCATCCATAGGAATGAATGGGGCCACAGCATACATGTGCACATTGAAGATGGGATGGCGGCAGACATTTTCACTAGAAAGACTGTGCAGTGATAGGCAGTACCACACAAGAAAGATCACTGGAATGGGGACCATGGTGAGTATTTAACACAGCAAATAAGGGCAAGGCAGGCAGTAGAATCTTTCATGATCTGGGATTAGGTTTGGAGTTCAGTGGTAAAACAGCAGACACGTTTGTTATTATAAGTTGTTGGGTTCAGTTTAGAAATAGCGGTCACAATATAGTGCTGAGGCAAAAATGTAGTAGAACAAGCTGAAGCCAGAAGCCAAAAGCTATCAGATTTGAGGTGGAGAGTGATGAAGAATGGCCAGTGATTCAGTTAAGGGTCGGTACAGGAGTAGTGTTGCATTAGAACACGTAGTAGACTAAGCGACAAGAGCAAGATACTGACAAAAGCAGAATAATTTAGCAAACATGAAGTTTCAGGAATGGCTTTCTTTGGGAGGAGTAAGGAATTCAGAGTTCAGCAAGAAACTGGGTATCAATGGTTGACTGAAAGAACAGGCAAAGAGCTCTCCAGAACAGGTGGCTAAGTAGAAAAAGAAACCACCAGACACAGAAGAATTCCGGAGTTAGGATTTTGACTGAA